AGTTCTTTGGGGACTTTCATCAAACAGTTTGCAGGGGTCAATTTTCTCCCTTTCAATGGCAGATTTTAGAGGTTGCAGAGGTCACTTGACCACCCTTGCTCCTCTGTAGATCCATCCCTGCCTGTGCCCCCCTTAAGTTCTCTTATTTATTTATGTATTTATAATATATAAAAATAATAATTGTATGTGTATTGATATATTTTATGATACCTTTAATATTTGAAAAATCTCAGTTTCATGTCTACTTCTTATTTACTATTCCTATTATTATTATACAAATTTATAAATAAACCCAATCCTAGACATGTATTTATAAAAAAACCCAAACACTATTTAAACATAGAAACACACCCAAAATCAACCCCAAAGTCAACTTTTTGGGTGTGTTTATAAATGAGTTTTGAGTGTGTATAATGATGGGTTTTGGGTGTGTTTATATGTTTAAATAGTGCTTGGGTTTTTTTATAATTTCAACCCCCATTTTGGGTGTTTTAGTAAAACTCCCTTATTATTATTGTTATATATATATATATATATTCTTTTTTAAACACAAATCTTTAAAATCTAAGTCTTTTTCACTTATTTCTCTTTTTTTAATGGGCAACAAACTTCCTTTTTGCTCTTACAAATATATTTGTGACTTTTATTTATTCTCTTATTTTCCATATAATATATTATCAAGTTTCAATTTATTTAACTCATAATTAAGGTTTGTTAAACTTTCTCCTATTTTTTGTTGTTTTCTCTTCACCTATGGTTTGTTTGGATTTGTGAATTTTTGATTTATTGTCTCTATTGAGTTTAAATGGGTTTTTGTTATAAAGCTAGAGGTAGAAAATGTAGAGAGAAGTGATATATTAAAGACAAAGTTTCACCATGTTTATTCTTCTCTTAATCTTTGGCAGAACCACATATTTATAGGCTTACAAGATAGAAGATTGAATACCATCATTCACAATATACCTATATGTTACAAACACTAATTACAAATACTTAGTGGATAGGTTACATAAAATCTAACGATGGAATACTAAGAGGTATGGTGGTCATCCACCAACTCATGCATTTACAACACTCCCCTTTGGATGTCCACCATACAATGACGTAGTTTCTTCATTAAAAACATTGCTTGGAAAACCCAGTGGGACAAAATCGAAGCGAAGGGAAAAAGAGTGAAACTTTCTTCTGGATCATTGATATGGTGTTGGATGCTCTTATATTGCCTCATTAAAACCTTGCTAGAAAAAACTCAGTGGGACAAAAACCTAGTCTAAGGGAAAAAGAGTAAAATGCGCATATGTCCTGTATGTAGTAGAATTGGGATGCTCCCCCTTATTGATATCTCTCCATGATTAATACCTCCCCTTGATTTTCATTAACTTCTGGAATTTAGGCTTTAGAAAAAGCTTTGGTAAAAAGGTTTGCTAGATTATATTGTGAACGAATTTGTTTAACTCCAATCTCTTGGCTTTTTTCTGAAACTATGTCACACTTGATGAACCCTTTTCTGATTTGAGCAATACAAGCAACATTGTCTTCATACATGATCGTCTATCACACTATTCAACCTGCTTTTCAACTTTCAAATGATTGAACTCTTTAAGAGCATCAACAATTAATTTAATATCTAGAATATGTTACAACAATATCAAATTTGAATTCAAAATAATCAAACTCTTAGTGTTAACTCTTAATTAAGAATATTGTGGTACTTTATATCATTCAAAGGGTCGCTTCATTCAATATATCTCAAATATTTCATGAGCTTTGATGATCTCTATGTACCATACAGTCTTAATAAATATGCATTTAACACATGCTATAACTTTCGCGTTAAAATAACAAAATGTACTTATAGAAATGTGGATATGCATCTACGATGAGATGGGAGACTAAAACCATGTCTCTACTAGGAAACCTTATGTCATATTAATGATCTTATTTCACTTCACAAACACCAATTCGCAACCTTCATACTTAACATTTGTAATTCGGTGTTTCAGCTATAGGTTCAATATCCCACACTTCATATTTAGTGATAAATGGAATTTCCTATTTCCATTTTGGCCAATCACTTAACTTGTTGACATTCATAAGGCAATTTAATATAATCATAGCCCTTGATGATTGTAGTAGCTACTAATAAACCAAATGTATCATCAATTCATGATCCCACAATTCTCATGCGCATGCATAATTTATAAGCATCTTATTACTTTGGGGTACCAATGCCTCTTCGGGGGCTGATGTTGTCACTTATGGGACAAACATCTCTTTTACGATGAATTAATTAGAATATGTGGATCATAACCTCATATAGAGCGTTATTTTTTTTATAGGGCTTGAATTTTTCAAATAATCTCCACTTCTAGGGAGTTAAGTTTTTAGAACCTATATTTTTGTCATGCTCATAGTCACTTATTGTCATGTTAATGGATTGTGATACATGAATATCAATCCATGCTTGCATATTCATAACTTTATATATGCATTATCTTGATGAAACAAAAGCAGACTGATTCAACACTATTTCACGACGTTCTTCAGAAACTGTCATTTCTCCCTCTAACGGTGGGAAAATTGTCTCAAAATGTAAGAAAATAAACTCATCATCATTATCAATTCAAATTTACTAGATTGGATAATGTGAGAGTTGTGCTCGTAAGTGTTTTGACAAGAGACAAATATTTGACCATTTTAGTAGGCATATTCAATAAAACTAGTGAAGCGATCCATAATTAAATGTTGTATAGGCTCACAAATATTCCCTTGAATTATTTCAGGAAAGAGGGCTTAAAGTCAATTTTTAACTAAGATGATCTTATGGCAGCTTTTATTTGTGAGCATTCTTTGTAATGATATTTGTAAAACGAAATTAACTAATAATCCAACATAAATAAAATAAAATGAGTAAAGTCGTATAAACGAGGAATAAAATAAATAAATTAAAAACTATGAAATTCCAAGATAAACCAATATTAATGTGGATTCAATATGTAGATAAAACTACAAGTTTAAGAATTGAATTTCCAACCAATTCATGTTCATATAGGCACAAATAAGTAATGAACTTCATGTTCATATATAGTATTAGGATCCATGAAAAACTATGAACTTCAGGTTCATGTCAACATATATTCGAAACTGCAAGTTCGAATACATAGATCTAAATAATTTGAATTAATAGTTGTTCTTTGAACTTCATACTCAAATCGATGTATATGCACTCAAAACTTCTGGTTCGAGTTCTTGACATATGTAGGCCTCATAGAATTCTGATTTTGATTAATACAAAATCAAGGAGTTTTATGTCCTTATGTGCTCTTTAAATTTGCGAAACTTCAAGCCCTCAATTATTTGGAATCAAAGAACTTCAGGATCTGATTCAATCAAAAGGACTCGAGGTCCTAATCTAGTTATATGATGAGGATCGAGGAATTTCGGACCCTGATCATTTGTATAATACAAACTCATCGTAACATATTGTAATTGCCACATAATTTCCGTTAATATGACAAGACAAAAGAAAAAGAAAATAAATTAAACAAGCATTGTAGGAAACGTGCGTACATATTTAAAAAAATAATAATAATAACTCTCGGTTATATCATGTCAGGTACATGATTCATAAAGTGAACGTCATCATTGAGTTTCTTATATTTGCAATAAAAGAAATTAAAGAGAAAAAAAACTTCAATATGATCTATGCTAATTATATGATTTGCACAAGGGTTAGCCAAACAAAATTTAACATAGTAAACTAAAGCGTGAAACATATCATGAAACAATAATAAAAATATGTATATATGATACCCACATCGTACAAGCTGCATCGTCTAAGTTGTATATATCATTGTGGTGTAAGAAAGGAGAAAATATTGAGCAGTCATGCTGATAACGTGTTATAAAACTAGAGGGAGAAAATGTAGAGAGAAGTGATATGCTAAAGATAAAGTTTCACCATATTTATTCTTCTCTTAATCTTTAGTAGAACCACTTATTTATAGGCTTACAAGATAGGAGATTGAATACAATCATTTACAATATACCTATAGATTACAAGCACTAATTATAAATACTTAGTGCATAGGTTACATAAAATCCAACAATGGAATACTAAGAGGTATGGTGGTCATCCACCAACTCATGCATTTACGACAGTTTTCCACTTTTTGTGTAGATTACCAAAGGAAAAAAGTTGTAACTATTAATGTTTTGGTCCTCTTAATTACTTGGCATGTATTGTGAGTTCAAATATTATATATATATTATATATATATATATATATAAAGTAAAAGGTAGATAATTGTGAAACATTCAAAATACCCGAAAATGTTATTAGTTAATTCAAACATTAAAAATTGAAATTATTAATTAAATAAGCATAGTATGGTAAATTCACACCTTTTCATATTAAATGAAATTAAAATTAAAAAAAAAAAGATAATAGATCATATTTCTATGAAACACAACTACCCACTATATTTTTTAATTCTAAAATAAATTTATTTATTTATTTTTTAAAAAGCCTCTTGCAATTGTGGAAGTGCGTGTGTAGATGCTAGTATATGTTATATGAGAGATTCTTCTACACATGAAATTCTGATTCCGTCACTGATCTAGTTGTATTATTTTCCAATTTGTTGAGACATATATGAAGCTGAAATTTTCCATCGCCCAAAATAAAAATGTTGTTGGTCCAATATTGATTTTTGGTTTTACTCAATAACTGTGGTCATAAAAATTCAACCTTGGACATCGTCAAATAAAATAAAAACTATACTGCAAAACCAAATCATCATTCAAAGGATACTATAAGAAAAAGAGATACAAATGTAGAGAAGTAATTCTAAGATGAGATTCATAACCAAAAAATAATATTATCATCTCATAAAAGGACCAAAGTCGGTGCGAGTAAAAACACCGTAACATTCCCCCCCGGGAGCACCTCATATAAAAGGAGCTCGCCACCTGGTCACCAACACTTCGAAAATCGCTTTCGTTGTTCCTCTGTTTTTCCAGAAGAGTCTGGTCCTTTCTCCTTTGGTGCTTCTCTTCCTGCATTCAGTTATGGCTACGGCATCAGGTAAAGCTATAGACTTTACAATTCTCTTTGCCCCCAATTTCTCGAATATCGCTGCCTTTTAAATCGAAATGACGACTTGGGTTCTTTGTTGGCCAAATTTTAGACGCTATACAATGTAGAATTGAAATCAAAGGCTTAAAATTTGAGGAAATTTTCATTGTTTCGCGTCAATTTTGAGAAGTATGGTTTGGGTTGAATTTGTTGTTTGTTCTTTTGCTATAGCCTATATGCATTGTACCTTGTCTCTGTTATTAAAGGTTCGATTTTGGGATGTGTGAATTGTTGGGGAAGATTGGTCTAGGTTGCTGCTGGCTAACTATGAATATAATGGCACCCCATTTATTGAAAATTAAAAAGGATTGGGTGTTTATGATTTTTGAGATACATAATAATACGATATTATGAGATGTAGATGTATAGATATAGAACTCAAAAGTTAGGATTTATGTTTATGTGTGACTTTTATGTGAAGCTTCACCGGTGCAAAGCTGAGGGATGACAGTAGGTGAACGTAGGATGGGATTGAGAAATGGTATTTCTGATATCTATCTTTGCACAATAGTTGGTGATTGGTGAATGAAAATGATCCCTTTTGCTAATTTCACAATGTACTAGCACAAATGTGGGTGATTTTTAGAGTATAGTTACCGAACAATACAAAAACATTGTACGCGTAAAACTAAAGAACAAAACATCATGTTCATATTAATGCTTCACGAAGGTGGATCTTCGTTCCAATATTGGAGTGAATAATTTCAATTCAAATTCTTTTTTTATATAAATGTTGCAAGAAAATTTGCCTTGGTAATTTAAACTTCAGTAAGAATGTTGTATCACAATTTCATTGTTTTCTAAAGTTTTGTTATTCTATTTCGTGGTGTGTGCAGTGGCATTCAAATCAAGGGAGGATCATCGGAAGCAGATTGAATTGGAGGAAGCACGTAAAGCTGGGTTAGCACCAGCTGAGGTTGATGAAGATGGGAAAGAGATTAATCCTCACATTCCTCAATATATGTCATCTGTGCCTTGGTATCTTAATGCTGAGAGACCAGTAAGCTAACATTCAAAGATTTGTAAACCCTTTCTTACTGAGATGTCAAAGCTGCATATGCTTATGGGGATTTTTCTTTCTATTTCTGTATAGAGTTTAAAACATCAAAGGAAATGGAAATCTGATCCGAATTATACAAAATCCTGGTATGACAGAGGTGCAAAGATTTATCACGCGGATAAGTACCGGAAAGGAGCATGTGGAAAGTATGTGGATGATGCATTGCTTATAATATTGGTCCCTGATTGTTTTCCTGCTATCATACTTGCTAATTAAATCTCGAATATAATATTTTTGTTCAATAATTGTAATGCGTGTTTAATGATCATGTCTTTCCACTGGGGAAGTCATTTTTTGTGTACAGTTGATAATGGGAAAATGCTTTTCATATAGGGAATGACAAGATTGCTGATGGTGTTATGGGCTCACAACATTCGTATATCCACCCATGTCCAACACTGGTTTGTTAGCTGATCAAATAATTTACATGCCTTTACTTGATAATTCTCAGATTTATGAGGGTTCCATGAGTTTTTTTTTTTTGGGATATTCTGTGGTTAAATTCAAGAATGCCTAAAAACAATTTTTTGTCTGGTTTTGTATGGTCATATAATTATGTCAGCAAACAAAAGTTTGTTTATTATTTATTTATTTGGGGATAGGATCATAGGATACATGTTTTAGCTCATGATTTTTTTTTAAAAACTCTTCTACATTCCTGTATTCTTATGATGTGCTGTGTTGAGTTGGGATTCTTGTAGTACCTTGGGTTTTCATCGTTTGCTTTTGACAGCTGTGGGGCCATGACACATAGCGCTAAGTCCTGCATGGAGAGGCCTAGAAAGAAAGGAGCAAAGTGGACAAATTTTCACATTGCACCTGATGAAAAGATAGAGATGTTTGAGCTGGATTATGATGGAAAACGGGATAGATGGAATGGTTTTGATGCAGCAACTTATGCTCGTGTCATTGAGAGATACGAAGCAAGGGATGAGGCTAGAAGGAAATACCTGAAGGAGCAGCAGCTGAAAAAGTTGGAGGAGAAAAATAATAAGCAGAATGGGGAGGGGGAGGTTAGTGATGATGATGAGGATAATGATGCTCTGAAGGTTGATGAGGCCAAGGTTGATGAAAGCAAACAAATGGATTTTGCAAAGGTTGAGAAGCGTGTTCGAACAACTGGTGGTGGAAGCACTGGAACTGTCAGGTACGTATTGCAATTTTGTTTGCTATCTCCTTGATTGTCTGTATGTCGCTTAGTAAGAAACTTATCTTATTTTGTGTATAACCTTCCTCCAAAAGATGATATACGCCTTATTTTGATTTTAATTTCTTTTGGCTCAGAAATTTGCGTATTCGGGAGGACACAGCTAAATATCTTTTAAACCTTGATGTTAATTCTGCTTATTATGATCCTAAAACCCGATCCATGCGTGAAGATCCTCTTCCTGATGCTGACCCGAATGAGAAGTTTTATGGAGTGAGTGCCTCTGGAAATTGTGGAATATACTTGGATTTTTTTTATATAAAACTTTGTCCTTTAATATAGTGACTGTAACAAACAATTGATTTGACAGCTTGCCATTATTACAGGGAGATAACCAATACAGAGTTAGTGGGCAAGCTCTAGAGTTCAAGAAGCTTAATATTCATGCATGGGAGGCATTTGAAAAAGGACAAGACATCCACATGCAAGCTGCTCCATCTCAAGCAGAATTGCTGTATAAAAACTTTAAGGTCATTAAGGACAAATTGAAGTCACAAATTAAAGATGCCATCATGGAGAAGTATGGCAATGCTGCAACCGAAGAAGTACTTCCCAAGGAGCTTCTTTTGGGACAAAGTGAGAAACAAGTTGAATATGATCGTGCTGGCAGAGTTGTAAAGGGCATGGTATATATGAAATTAAATTCATTCTCAAATAATCAGCTCTGTTTTTGGATTTTGCCTCGCGTTGTTTATATTTATACCGTTTATGTTATGCAAAAAAAAAAAAGGGCTTAGCTTTAAGAGTTTGTGTGTGTGTGCATGCATCCAAGTGTTTGTACGTACCAGCTCATATTTTGGTACTAGTCAATACTTTCATTGGGATTACTTTTCAAAATGTGACTGTTCCAGAGAATGTGATATATGGTAGTGGACCAAAATTATTTTGAAGCTATTTAACCCCACCTTAGTGTGGCATTGCTTGAGCCTCTGAAATATCATGTGTGGGTATCTATTTTTGTTGTCAGTGGTTACATGTTGACTTCATGATTATTGGATAATAAATGTTTTGAAGGAATTTATAGCAAGTACTGTTTTGTTAGAGCAGCATCCATGGTGCTGAAGTACAGTTATAAATTTTAAAGTCTTTTGGTCTGGTGTAGATTGTTCTGTTCTTTCTATTAATGCTATATGCAAAGTAGCTTAAATGTTGTGTGCTAAACTAAGTATTTTGTTTATTAGATTAATTAATCTACCTAATTGTCTTCCACCCAAGTTGTTCATCTTCAAAATATACATGATAATCCAGACATTTTCTTTTAAACTTTTATGTGTAGCGTTTTGAATGCAAATTTAACTTTTTTTTTTCTTTTCTGGTTTTCTTTTGAAGGAGACTTCCCTTCCCAAAAGCAAGTATGAAGAGGATGTTTACATCAACAACCACACAAGTGTTTGGGGATCATGGTGGAAGGATCACCAATGGGGATACAAGTGTTGTAAGCAAACAATTCGGAACAGTTACTGCACGGGTGCAGCTGGAATTGAGGCTGCTGAGGAAGCAGCAGACCTAATGAAGACGAATGTTGCCCGCAAAGTGGCCTCAGAAGGTTTGTACCTTTCATATTGTGGCTGGTTTTAGTATGTCCTTTATTTCATTTACAGTTTGTGCTTATGATATTGTTTTCCATTTATATGTTGATAAGTCTTGCTAGTTTGATTATATGTTGATTTTTATACAAAAAGTTCCATTCTGATTGGATCTTCAAAATTGATGATGCAGAGATGCCTGCTCCAACAGAAGAGAAAAGGCTTGCTACTTGGGGAACTGATATACCTGATGATTTGGTTCTTGACCAGAACAAACTTGATGATGCTCTTAAGAAGGTGATCTTGTGGCTTAAATTTCCAAGTTACCTCTCTTAGTGTCATGCAATATATTTTAAGATGGAATTGATGTGACTCAAATTTCACATCACCCTATTTTTCCTGAACTTTGTTGGTTGTTTGCTCATGTGTTTTTATTTTGGCAGGAGGATAAGAGAAGAAAGGAAGAGAAGGATGAAAGAAAGCGTAAATATAATGTTAAATGGGATGATGAGGTATAAGGATCTCATTATACTTCAATTGGTGATATATTGCTTGATTGTTAGTATTTAGCCTTTTTGATAAATGTCTTTACACCATGCAATGCACTTTGTAGGTTACTCTTGAGGAGATGGAGGCATATCGGATGAAAAAGATACATAACGATGATCCCATGAAAGATTTTCTGCACTAGGTGTCAACTGGGTTTGCCTTTCTTCTGGATACTGTAAGCTTGAATAACTTAAGTAGCATTTTTGTTGGTTAAGCTTGGGGAAACATTTGCAGAAACCTGCTGTTGTCTGAGCTCTTTGGACCTTGCCGTTTTGTGTACATCCGTAGAACAATGAAATCATACAAGTAAAAAAAAAGATTAAATGTACTCTTTCTCATGGATATTGGGGTTTGGGAATTGGGATTGAGTTCCTTCAATGTTCATAGTGATGCCAATTGCTTCTAAATAGCTCATGTGGTGCACTAATGAATTTGGCTGCATAAAGCCACAGTAATTAATTGAATAATTTAAAAATAAAATAGTTTCCTGTGGGATAATTCACCATTAATTTACTTCAATAAATCATTAATAAAAAATAATGGGAACTTTATCCGAGGCAAGTAAATAAATAATGAATGATTTTGATATTATTACAATCAATGTGTAGACTTGGGTTTAGAGGCAGTGTGTTCATCTCCTTACAGTCGAGTTCAATATCCATTTTCCGAGTAGTTATACCATCACTTGTGTAAAATAAATAAAAGGACTTACAACCAATGTGAGACATTCCACCATTAATGTCCTTCAATAATTGACTTGCCAAGAAATAATCAAGTAATTCATTATGCGCCTGTGCACTCTTTAAAACACTCAAACGAAAATCTTTTATTCATGTTTTCGATCAATACACCAAGCCACAAGCAATCCATGTATGTGTAAAACCAAAAAAATAAAAAGAAAGAAAAATTAAAAGGAAAAGAACCTAAAGTTTCTACACATCTTCACACTATCTGCAGCAGGAACCACTGCGTCAATCACTTCACCTGAAAGCCACAGCCAAAAACTCACAAACCTTCAAGCTTCTTGTATCACTTCCAACTTTTGTATTGGGAAAAAATGAAACTAACAAATCTAATAATAAATCATAATCAATATATAATCAATTTAGGTACTCCGAGCCAACATCTCTTGGAACTCAAGAAGGGACTTCTCCTTCTGAAGTTTCATGTCTTGCCTAAACTTGGTAATGAACTCCTCTGCCCTCTCATCCACCACCCGCAGCTGCGGTGACTTAGCAACCACTGCCTGCCATGCATCTTCAACGCTATACAAACTCTTTTTATCTCTTGCTACAGCCTTCCCATCACCGTTATCCTCGACCACTTGTTTCCCTTTGCTTGTTTCTGCCTGCTCACCTGAATGCTGGTTCTTCTTTGTGTCCTCATAGACGGTGGCAGGCTCTGCAAAGAGCTCATCTATGTGTATGGCTGCAGAATTCTTATTATGAACAACCTTGTTGTGGTACTGATAGCTAGATCTACCCAGTGCATAGCCCATATGGGATTCAAAGGCCTCATAGTGATGGTTGTAAAACTGGTCTCTAGGAAAGGTAGAGGAAGCTTTGGTGAGAGCTCGGAGTTTGGATGGGATGAGGAAATGGAACTTGCTCCGCAAGGCACGGAGGTGTCTGGTGGTTGTTTCGACAGCTTTGGGGATGTTGAGCTTGTGGAGTTTTGATTGTAGCTTCTTGGTGAAGCTCTTCCACGCCTTCTTGGTGCAGCCAAGCTTCTTTGCGAGCACCCGGCGTGACATAGAAGCATCAGGTCGTGACGAGATCATTGTTTCCTCTCTAAGCAAGGAGTTGGTTGCAAATGATAGGCTATGAGGCCGTGATGATGGCACTTAAGGAAGAAGCTTCGATACCTTACTCTTGTATTCTGGTTTGCTAAATGTTCTTGGTTTTTGAGAAAATTGCTGGAAATGCCATTCTAGTCACGGCAGCCAGCCAATTAAGAAAGATTCAGCTTGTGGGATGCCAATGGCAAAGCAGTAATAAAAATTCAATTATTAGGTGTTTGCTTAGCCAAAGTGGTCTTCACTTTCGGCATAGCTTGGAGGCCCCAGCTTGGAGCAAGCTTGGGTCCTAAGTTTGGTGAGAGACGAAGACCAGCCAAAGTGTATTTAGTATATGTTAGTTCTGTACTGTAAAGCACTCATTAATTATTTTGGGTTGTATTTATATATGGTGGGGTTTCCAGTACGTCACCTTGTGTTTGTTTTGTTGTGGGCTGTAGAAACTGTATGATATGACAATTTTCTACGGCTCCTCTTTTTCTGATCACCAACTAGTTGCAGTATATGAGTAGTTGAGTACAACAAGTACACATATTCTCTCTCCTTATAAGGTTATAGAATAATACAACATTTAGTTATACATGCAGATTCAAATTCACATTTTGGTAAGAACCTTTTAGGTGAATTAGTGTGACAAAAAGGTCTGTATTGATGGTATTCTTATGCATGAGGTCCCTTTTTATATGGGAAATTTTGACTTCAAAATTTGTCAGTATTGATCTTAGATCAAGAAATCGTACCGCGCACGAATTAGCTCGTTTTGCTCTTTCGTACTCTCAAAATTTGGTTTGGATTGAGGAGGGGCCAAAATGATTTGCTTCGATCTTGGATGACGAGGATGAATTGTTTTCTTCTTAATTGTTAAATGGAAGTTTACCAAGAAGAATATAGGAGGAAGGCTTTGGGGTCCTTTAGAAGAAATTTGAAGAATACTGTCCCCTCACCATTTGTATAATTTATCATAAATTTAATCAGATGCCAGTATGCCTTCTTTCAAAACCCAACAGATACTTAATTCTGAACCCAATTCATAAGTCACTTTTCCAACCAGGTAAAGGCGGTGCCTTATACTTGCCTTTTCTCTTTTAGCTCCATCAAATCCGGGCTTTGGGCAACCATGTATGTACGGCAAGGCACTTGCTTTTCTAACTTGTAAAAAAATAACTTGAAATGTTTCAAAGTAGAAAGAGAGTGGCCATTTTTTTTTCTGATTTGCTTTCCAGGTCAGTGTAACACAACCCTTCACACAAATCCTTGGTGTGATCTCGACCTGATTGCTTTAAGTTCTACTTTTTCTTTTCTTTTCTTTTTTGTGTGAAAAGAGGGGGGCCATGCCCAAAAGAAAACACTAAACTACAGTCCAAGGCCTACAGAGACCACGCAGGTCATCAACAACAGAGGACCTAATACTGTCGGGAGGCATATGAAAGGTATAGAGACCCAAATCAAGGCAAGAGCCTAAGTTAGCAAGTCTATCAGCCACCATATTGCATTCACGATAGACATGATAAATAGAGCAGCCCCAACATTTTTTGATGTAGTCCTGGCAGCCCCATAACAATGTAGCAAGAGGGTGGAAGGCATCCACAGCTTTATTGAGAAGATGCACTGCAACGGCTGAGTCAGATTCCAGCACAACATCATTGCAGCCCATATCCCAAGCAGATTTTAGACCAAGTTCTACTTTTTTCGTATGCATAAAATGGTCCACTTAAAAAGAGTTCTTCTGGTGTGATCACGGCCTCTCAGGCCAAATTTGATCTTGCTTATCTCAAGCACTGAAATCATGGTGTATCGCTGGTGTGCTTTCTCTTATCACCCTCATTATAGACTAATCATGTATTTAGAGTCATAAAAATTAGTTGCCCAACAGAAGTGGGTGTTAAAAAATGTAAAGTTACACGTCGAAAACTTTACAAAATAAAATACTATAAGATGAGTGGTTCATTTACTAATAACATCAAAACCTTTTATATAAAATGCCGCACATACCACACTACACAGGTAGTTAAGTTGTTTAAATAATTGAACTACAATACATAATAAGCTTCATCCTTGAAGAATCACACACACGAAAAAAAAAAAAAAAACATATAGGAAATATTTGTCAGTAGAAGTTTCAGGATAGAAACTTGTGACGAAATCAGTGACCGGACACCAGCCACTAATTAAAGAATAGCTGGTGTCGGTATGACCGGACACCAGCCACCAATTATGATATTATTGAAGTCTGGTTGACCCAATTATGGATGTCCGGTCCACGTACCCAAGCACTTCCTTTCTCCTTATCGGTCACCATGGCCTCTTGCCCCACCGCCTTTTTCTGCAACCACGCAGCAACAGCAGCACCGTGGTCATCTTCCAGAACCGGAACCAGAAGAAGCTTCTGTAGGCGGAGCTCTGTGAAAACAACCATCAATGCCAAGCTCGACCAGAAGACGTCGTTGCAGTACAAGAAGCTCGGAGACTCAGACCTTGTAATTAGCGAAATCACTCTCGGAACCATGACATTCGGCCAGCAAAACACAGAGAAAGAAGCTCATGAGATTCTCAGCTACGCATTCGAAAATGGGATTAACGCTTTGGACACTTCAGAAACCGTAAGTGCTTGTAGATTGCTTGAATTTTGTTGGCCTCAGTTTAAATTTGTTTCGTTTGGGTTTTGATTAATGTTTATATCTTTTTTGTTTGTTGCAGCACCCATTTCCAATGAAGAAGGAAACTCAGGGAAGCACTGATCGTTTTATCAGCAGCTGGCTCAAGTCTCAACCCCGTGATAAGGTACTTGATGGTTGTTGTCACATTGAATTAGGACCATTGATTTGGTTGAATGATGTCTGAATGTGCGGTCCTGGTTCACAGTGATAAAAAGGCAAGGATCATCATTTTAACTCATTAGTATGCTGTGTAAATAGGTGATTTTGGCAACAAAAGTAGCCGGGTATTCGGAGACGGCAAGTTACCTGCGTGACAATGCCACGGTCTTGCGGGTGGATGCTGCAAACATTAAGGAAAGTGTAGAGAAAAGCCTTAAGCGCCTTGGCACAGATTACATTGATTTAATACAAATTCATTGGTAAGTTTATTGATCAAACTTCACACATTACACAAACTTACATGCTACATTCTCAACTGGTTTGTGATTTTTGTAGTATCACACACTACGTACCCGTTCTGATAATTAACTGGAACTTTACATGGACTCACACTCTAATTGCAAAATTGTTCTTTTTTTCCTGACCCACTTGTGGTATCACACAACTCATCAAATGAACTTAGGACTGGGCCAACTTTTTAGTCTGTTTTTTATTAGACATTTCAAGCGTCTTTTAACTCTACATTTTGCTTGTATCTATGAACTGAAGATATTTTCTATGAAGCAAACCAGAGTCCTTTGGTAAGGACTGGTTTTCATGCTGTTCCATTTTTGTTTTGCCCTCTCCTAATCGAGCAATCAAACCAACCATTCTGTTCGAAAACTTTTAAGACTCTAAATGGAAATTGGTCATGTGACGTTCATATGAACACTTAACACATCATTGGACAAGTTTGTCAATTTTTATGTATTAAATTTACAAGTAACTTCCATTTCCATTGAAGAAAATAAGCTGAAATAATTATTTCACTTTGGAAAATCATTAATTAACGTAGGTTGGGAGTGCAAGAAATAATGATAATAATAAGTGAGTAACAGAAAATGTATATTTCTTCATTCATTTGGTCTGAAACCCTTCCATATTGATTCACATTTCCATTCTTAGAATCACTTAAAAGTAGGGGTAAAGGCAAACTAAGCATTAAACCAGCACTGTTACTTCTTTTTGAATTTGAAGGCTTCCAATTTGTCTCATGATATGTTGGAATGACTAGTGAAGATGTTTGCTCTTTGCTTTTCAGAAAAAGAATCTGGATGTTAACTAGTTTAAGGTGGTGATTTTGGGAAACTAAAGTATTTTGTTTAAACCAGGCCAGATCGCTATGTGCCACTATTTGGTGCGTATTCTTATGATTTTTCCAAATGGAGACCAAGTGTGCCATTCGTGGAGCAGCTGAAGGCTTTTCAAGAACTCATTGATGAAGGAATGGTAACAACTATTCACGCCAATGAAAGTTTTGACTTTCGGGTTCAACTGTAAAGCACCTGCATCAGAGGTGGAAGTTACGGAAAAACTATTAATTTTTCCAAGACTTGTTATAATGTGAATTTAAACATAGCATCATAGTTCTCTTGAGTTTGTCTTTGTGAATTCCTAGTTGCGTCTGCATCAATGTAGATGGAACATACTGGGGATTTATGAGTTGGTACACTCATAACTAGAAAAAGAGTGAATCTTGAAAGCGTAACTTCTGAATATTACTAAAAATTGGAGTGTTACATGCTCTGTGTAACTGCTTGATGTCTCTAAGCATCTTTAACTTACATGATACAGATTCCTTTTGAATGGTATAGGTACGCTACATTGGTGTTTCCACTGAAACTTCATATGGAGTGATGGAATTTGTACATGCAGCTAAAGTTGAAGGACTACCAAAGATCGTCAGTATCCAAAACCGTTACAGTCTGCTAGTTAGAACTCGTTTTGAAAGTAAGTCATATTCTGATGCTATGAGCAGATAAAATCTTTTACCTTAATATTAGTCAGCTTGACATAAAACTTGCTGTTGATATTTCTCTTTAGATAGTTATATCAACTCCATGATGTGAATAGGCTAGTTAATACATCAAAATATGTTTGGACTAAGTATAATATACCTAAAATGGTAAAGCAAATGCCTCCATTTTCTTTGATTACTAATTTGCAATCTTAGTCCTTTGAGACACATTTAAATAATACAATATGGTTCATTAGTTGTTTCCTTTCTGTCAGTTTGTTTGACTGTCTTTAACCAATCTTTGCTGAACTTGTTGAAATTGAAATTACAGTGTTTTACTTGTTTGAGTGCTAAGCTAAGTTATACCTACCTCACTTGACCTATATCTTCTCATGTATTGGGATGTCGACATGGTTGGGCTGTGTATCCAACCTGTTGCTTTTACTGATCGACACCTTTGTTGTGTGCATTGGATAGAGATGTTTACATGATGCCATGTTTACCTTTTCCCTCCCTGTTTTTTGTATGCCATTCTCTTAACTTCATTGAGTTTGTAATTCTATGCTTGATGATTTGCAGTTGATCTTGTTGAAGTTTGCCACCCGAAAAATTGCAACATTGGCTTACTGGCTTATTCTCCACTGGGTGGTGGAACTCTTACTGGAAAGTACATAGATATCAATTCCGAAGCTGCAAAAAAAGGGAGGCTGAACCTTCTCCCTGCCTACATGGAAAGATATAACAAATCTATTGCCAGGGTATGTTAATATTCAACATGTCATATAGATAATAGATCATGTAGACTAAATTCAAATAAACACCAAACATGCACGATATATTTAGTTATTTTATTATCTAATAAAAATATGAACTGCTCTGATATGGGGATTTATCATCAGTGTTTACTGTTGATTTGAATAAAGCACATGCTGACTGTTTATACTTTCATTAGAAGAAAATTTCAAATTTAATTTAATCCCATTATTGATACGAGTGCCCTTGTTTGCAATTAAAGGCTAGGACTCCTAATTAGAAGGCCTTTGAATTTGGCACCACCCACAAGTAGGTTGATTGCTCCCACTTGTCATTGGATATATTAAAAACCATGGCCGGACAGCAGCATGAAATATAGTTTGTACACTGGATGTTTTGGAAATAGTTGGTTTGCCTTGCTTGACGAGTTACTTTATGTTCTGGATATAGATTGATGAGGATAATTTCCATTACAGCTTGTTGATTTTCTGCCTTAATGTTACTTTTTCTGTTTTCAGGAAGCAACAATAAAGTATATCGAGACAGCCAAGAAGCACGGGCTAACTCTGGTTCAGCTTGCACTTGGGTTTGCACGGGACCGTCCTTTTGTGACAAGTTCAATCGTTGGTGCAACTTCTGTGAACCAACTGAAGGAAGACATTGATGCTTTTCTGTTGACCGAGAGGCCTTTGCCACCAGAAGTGGTGGCTGACATTGAAGATATTTTCAAGAGTTACAAAGACCCTCCCATGTTTTGAAAAAAGTAGCCTAGGAAGTGTAATTATTGTTTTCACTTCACATGTCTGGTTTAGATGACAATCGAAGGTCAATGATATCCCTTGTTTGACCTTGGGAATTCCGGTTTTGTGCGGTGAGCAGAAGCATGAGATTTGTTGATGCTCAAAAATGGTTGAGCCAAGATTGAGTCCAACCTAGTGATGAGGTATGATGGATGATGGGTGCAGGTGAAGACCTTCAGCATATGCAAGCGCTTTCGGCAGATTGTTGCCTTCGGTAATCAAGGTAAATAAAGTAAATAAGCATGTAGAAGACAAGATATACGTGGTTCACCCGAATGATGAGTTACGTCCACGGAGAAAAATGTTCTCATTATGATAATGTTTGTTTACATTTGTACAAGGGGTTGGACCCAAATATAAAGATAAGAATGGAGAAGCCCATAATTAAAGATAAAGCTCAATCCAAGGATCCCCTTTTAAGTGGATAGTGGTCTCCTCTCTTATAGGTGAGAGGGAGTCTTCACTTTTTGTTGTTTTTCGATGTGGGACTCATCTTGCTTTTCTTATAGTTGTGACTTGTGGTAATGCTTCTTTGGCTAAGGTGATACCTCTCAAAGCATGGCACAGGGATGATCTAGCCTATCTAGTTGCTATGTCAGTTACGGTACCAACAAGATTAACAAGGCCTCGACTTCCTTTTCATGAATTTTATGTATCCTTCTTTGTTTTCTTTTTCTTTTGTTTCCTCTAATTTGCGCAAGTGTCTACTTCATGCTTGATAAACTATCTAGGTTGATCAGTATGGCGGGGCGGGGTCGTGATTTGTAACTCAACTCTGTATTTTTTGTTTATTTCTTCTTTCCCTTTTCACCAATGGGAGAGCCTGGGTTAACATACTGAAATGGTGTCATGTCGTGTTCAATTTGGCTCACATATATTATGAGGTAAAGTTAGAAAATTAGGATATTGTCAACATTGATCTGCTAATTTCATGTAAGTGTTGTATCATGTTAAAAATTGCTACCTTTAACTCCAATATTTTGCTTCGATCTTGGATGACGAGGATGAATCTTTATTGTTAAATGGAAGTTTACCAAGAAGAATATAGGAGGAAGGCTTTGGAGTCCTTTAGAAGAAATTTGAAGAATACTGCCCCCTCACCATTTGTATAATTTATCATAAATTTAATCAGATGCCAGTATGCCTTCTTTCAAAACCCAACAGATACTTAATTCTAAACCCAATTCATAAGTCACTTTTCCAACCAGGTAAAGGCGGTGCCTTATACTTGCCTTTTCTCTTTTAGCTCCATCAAATCCAGGGCTTTGGGCAACCATGTATGTACGGCAAGGCACTTGCTTTTATAACCTGTAAAAAAATAACTTGAAACGTTTCAAAGTAGAAAGAGAGTGGCCATTTTTCTTCTGATTTTCTTTCCAGATCAGTGTGTGATCTCGAGACCTGATTGCTTTAAGTTCTACATTTTTTGTTTTTTTGTTTTTTGTGAAAAGATGGGGCCATGCCCAAAAGACAACACTAAACTGCAGTCCGAGGCCTACAGAGACCACGCAGGTCATGAACAACTGAGGACCAAATACTGTCGGGAAGCACATGAAAGGTACAGAGACCCAAATCAAGGCAAGAGCCCAAGTTGGCAAGTCTGTCAACCACCATATTGCATTCACGATAGACATGATAAATAGAGCAGCCCCAACATTTTTTGATGTAGTCCTGGCAGCCCCATGACAATGTAGCAAGAAGGTGGAGGGCATCCACAGCTTTATTGAGAAGATGCACTGCAACGGCTGAGTCAGTTTCCAGCACAACATCACTGCAGCCCATATCCCAAACAGATTTTAGAAACCAAGTTCTACTTTTTCGTATGCATAAAATGGTCCACTTAAAAAGAGTTCTTCTGGTGTGATCTCGACCTCTCACACCAAATTTGATCTTACTTATCTCAAGCACTGAAATTATGGTGTATAGCTGGTGTGTTTTCTCTTATCACCCTAATTATAGACTAATCATGTATTTAAGTTTGGCATTGCTATGCTGTAAAAATAATCGCCGTCAGATTTGTTGTGAGAGAAAGCAGTTTGGCTTTTGGTAAATGTTTTGTTAAAAGTGTTGTTGATATTGATTTTACGCATAATCAGAAAATGATTGCCACATAATCATTAAATCTAGCGCCTCTTCGAAACTGATTTCTGCATAATCAGAAAATTATTGCCACATAATCATTAAACCCAACGCCTCTTCGAAATTGATTCCTGCATAATCAGAAACTGAAAGCACCTCATTAGCTATTTTCCCTTATAATTTTTTCTCACAACAATTTTTAACAATAAGTGATTTTCTCACAGTTTACCAAACGGATTGGGCTTCTCAATTTTTTTAAAAAATCACTTATCACCTCAAATAAGCAATATCAAACGGACACTTAGAGTCATACATTTTTTCAAAAATGTAAAGTTACACATCGGAAATTTCACAAAATAAAATACCATATGATAAATGGTTTATTTACTAATAACATCAAAACCTTTTATATAAAATGCCGCATATACCAAACTATGCAGGTAGTTAAGTTGTTAAAATAATTGAACTACAGTACATAATAAGCTTCATCCTTGGAACGATCACCAAAAACATAAAAAACAAAAAAACATATAGGAAATATTTGAGGATAGAATCCTTTCATGATTGCGAAAAAAACTTGTGACGAAATCAGTGACGTAATCAACTTAAGATAATGAAAGAATGGCTGGTGTGCCTACCCCCTTTTCAGTCAAATATGGCGTCTGCTTCCCAACGCATTGTGAGAGAAAAACACTATAAATACGACAAGAGCAAGCAACACAAACAAAGAAAGATGATCTAATTAAGTACTAGGAAAATTGTCATGGCAACAGATAAGGTTAAGCTTTTAGGGTATGTTTTCAGTCCATTTTCCCGTAGAGTGGAGTGGGCTCTGAAGCTGAAGGGCATTGACTATGAGTATGTAGAAGAAGATATCTTCAACAAAAGCCCTCTTCTTCTGCAACTCAATCCAGTTCGCAAAAAAGTTCCAGTTTTGGTTCATGGCAACGAAGTGGTCTCTGAGTCATTCACTATTCTCGAATATATTGATGAGACATGGAAGCAAAACCCATTGTTGCCTCAAGATCCTTATGCAAGAGCCATATCACGCTTTTGGGCTAACTTCACGGAAGAGAAGGTGAGCCATATGCTAGAATTAATTTGTTTCAATTTTATCTAGTAAATGCATCAAAATCATCTTAATTAAGGCATGTTTTGTTGCATTAATCACTCACGTGCATATAAACGACTTTGAATGGTTGATGGATGTGGATATGGACGATTGTTGTGGATAGCATTTTTCCTTACCACATTTACTTACTATTACTACTGGGTTGAAAACTTGAGTGGGAAAATATGTGGAGAGAGGTTCGAAATCCCTAGGCACCTGATGAATATTTGTGTAACATCCATCCTCCAATCGCTTGTACTAAAAAGAAATTAAAAAAGAGTACAAGCTTATAGTTTCTCAAATGTTGCACAGTTACCTTCCACTCAAGTCTAACTTTGCTTCCACCAATGTTATACTAAGTAAGAGATATGATCAACAATGTTATTGGTGATTATTTTACGAACATATCTTTTGTGATATGATTTTTGTGATATGATTTCATATATTGACTAACTTTTAATTTCTTGTTAGGTTCTGGATGCTGCATTTACAGCTTTAATATGCTCCACAGGAGAGCAACAAGAAAAGGCTTTGAAATCAACCATTGAGGCCTTGGAACACATAGAAGGAGACCTCATGGGAAAGAAGATTTTAGGAGGGGAAAGCATTGGGTATTTGGACATTGCAATGGGATGGATCTCTTACTGGCTGCCTATTTGGGAGGAAGTAGGCTCCGGGCAGGTTTTGGACCCTTCAAAATTTCCTGCAATCATTTCATGGATCAACAAAATTCTTAGCCACCCTGTGATCAAGGACAACTTACCTCCTCGAGACAAAGCGGTTGCTTATTTTCATGGGAGGAGAAATTTTTACACTTCTGGGAAGACTTAGCCATAGATGCTCGTCTGCCCATATTGTACTAATTTCTAAAACTAGAGTTACAATAAATGTGATATATGTAATATGGTTAAGGTGTGTATTAAGAGTATTTTACCTTTGCTTCTGAAGTGTTATGTTCGAATCTCTCATCCTAATTACAGTTGTTTAATAAATTCTATCGGCACACGCTTCATGCATGACAATTGGCCTTTTTTATATTAAATATTTGTTTTATTTTATGATAATTTTCAAATTAAGCTACTAAACGCATTCTTAAATCTTAAAAACACTAATTTGTTTTCCCGTTTCATTTTCAAAATAACATTTTATGAAAATAATTTTAGAAAACATTACCAGACGGCTCTATAAATGTTTCACAATAGTCTACTCCCTTACACTTTAATGTATTGGGCCTAAAATGATATTATTGAAGTCTGGTTGACCCAATTATGGATGTCCGGTCCACGTACCCAAGCACTTCCTTTCTCCTTAACACTAGTGTCTGTGTGTCTCACAGGGCTCCATTGACTTTTGAAACGGTTGGAATTCGACAAGGCCTAAGCAGCGGAGCAAGAAAGCCTTATCGGTCACCATGGCCTCTTGCCCCACCGCCTTTTTCTGCAACCACGCAGCAACAGCAGCACCGTGGTCATCTTCCAGAACCGGAACCAGAAGAAGCTTCTGTAGGCGGAGCTCTGTGAAAACAACCATCAATGCCAAGCTCGACCAGAAGACGTCGTTAAAGTACAAGAAGCTCGGAGACTCAGACCTTGTAATTAGCGAAATCACTCTCGGAACCATGACATTCGGCCAGCAAAACACAGAGAAAGAAGCTCATGAGATTCTCAGCTACGCATTCGAAAATGGGATTAACGCTTTGGACACTTCAGAAGCTGTAAGTGCTTGTAGATTGCTTGAATTTTGTTGGCCTCAGTTTAAATTTGTTTCGTTTGGGTTTTGATTAATGTTTAAATCTTTTTTGTTTGTTGCAGTACCCAATTCCAATGAAGAAGGAAACTCAGGGAAGCACTGATCGTTTTATCAGCAGCTGGCTCAAGTCTCAACCCCGTGATAAGGTACTTGATGGTTATGTTGTCACATTGAATTAGGACCATTGATTTGGTTGAATGATGTCTGAATGTGCGGTCCTGGTTCACAGTGATAACAAGGCAAGGACCATCATTTTAACTCATTACTATGCTGTGTAAATAGGTTATTTTGGCAACAAAAGTAGCTGGGTATTCGGAGACGGCAAGTTATCTGCGTGACAATGCCACGGTCTTGCGGGTGGATGCTGCAAACATTAAGGAAAGTGTAGAGAAAAGCCTTAAGCGCCTTGGCACAGATTACATTGATTTAATACAAATTCATTGGTAAGTTTATTGATCAAACTTCACACATTATACAAACTTACATGCTACATTCTCACCTGGTTTGTGATTTTTGTAGTATCACACACTGCGTACCCGTTCTGATAATTAACTGGAACTTTACATGGACTCACACTCTAATTGCAAAATTGTTCTTTTTTTCCTGACCCACTTGTGGTATCACACAACTCATCAAATGAACTTAGGACTGGGCCAACTTTTTAGTCTGTTTTTTATTAGACATTTCAAGCGTCTTTTAACTCTACATTTTGCTTGTATCTATGAACTGAAGATCTTTTCTATGAAGCAAACCAGAGTCCTTTGGTAAGGACTGGTTTTCATGCTGTTCCATTTTTGTTTTGCCCTCTCCTAATCAAGCAATCAAACCAACCATTCTGTTCAAAAAAATTTAAGACTCTAAATGGAAATTGGTCATGTGACGTTCATATGAACACTTAACACATCATTGGACAAGTTTGTCAATTTTTATGTATTAAATTTACAAGTAACTTCCATTTCCATTGAAGAAAATAAGCTGAAATATTTATTTCACTTTGGAAAATCATTAATTAACGTAGGTTGGGAGTGGAAGAAATAATGATAATAATAAGTGAGTAACAGAAAATGTATATTTCTCCATTCATTTGGTCTGGAACCCTTCCATATTGATTCACATTTCCATTCTTTGAATCACTTAAAAGCAGGGGTAAAGGCAAACTAAACATTAAACCAGCACTGTTACTTCTTTTTGAATTTGAAGGCTTCCAATTTGTCTCATGATATGTTGGAATGACTAGTGAAGATGTTTGCTCTTTACTTTTCAGAAAAAGAATCTGGATGTTAACAAGTTTAAGGTGGTGATTTTGGGAAACTAAAGTATTTTGTTTAAACCAGGCCAGATCGCTATGTGCCACTATTTGGTGCATATTCTTATGATTTTTCCAAATGGAGACCAAGTGTGCCATTCGTGGAGCAGCTGAAGGCTTTTCGAGAACTCATTGATGAAGGAAAGGTAACAACTATTCAAACCAATGAAAGTTTTGACTTTCGGGTTTAACTGTAAAGCACCTGCATCAGAGGTGGAAGTTATGTAAAAACTATTAATTTTTCCAAGACTTGTTATAATGTGAATTTAAACATAGCATCATAGTTCTCTTGAGTTTGTCTTTGTGAATTCCTAGTTGCGTCTGCATCAATGTGGATGGAACATACTGGGGATTTATGAGTTGGTACACTCATAACTAGAAAAAGAGTGAATCTTGAAAGCGTAACTTCTGAGATGATTCATGAATGTTACTAAAAATTGGAGTGTTGCATGCTCTGTGTAACTGCTTGATGTCTTTAAGCATCTTTCACTTACATTCCTTTTGACTGGTATAGGTACGCTACATTGGTGTTTCCAATGAAACTTCATATGGAGTGATGGAATTTGTACATGCAGCTAAAGTTGAAGGACTACCAAAGATTGTCAGTATCCAAAACAGTTACAGTCTGCTAGTTAGAACTCATTTTGAAAGTAAGTCATATTCTGATGCTATGAGCAGATAAAATCTTTTACCTTGACATAAAACTTGCTGTTGATATTTCTCTTTAGATAGTTATATCAACTCCATGATGTGAATAGGCTAGTTAATACATCAAAATATGTTTGAACTAAGTATAATATACCTAAAATGGTAAAGTAAATGCCTCCATTTTCTTTGATTACTAATTTGCAATCTTAGTCCTTTGAGACACATTTAAATAATACAATATGGTTCATTAGTTGTTTCCTTTCTGTCAGTTTGTCTGACCGTCTTTAACCAATCTTTGCTGAACTTGTTGAGATTACAGTGTTTTACTTGTTTGAGTGCTAAGCTAAGTTATACCTACCTCACTTGACCTATATCTTCTCATGTATTGGGATATCGTCATGGTTGGGCTGTGTATCCAACCTGTTGCTTTTACTGATCGACACCTTTGTTGTGTGCATTGGATAGAGATGTTTACATGATGCCATGTTTACCTTTTCCCTCCCTGTTTTTTGTATAATGCTCTTAACTTCATTGAGTTTGTAATTCTATTACTTGATTATTTGCAGTTGATCTTGTTGAAGTTTGCCACCCGAAAAATTACAACATTGGCTTACTGGCTTATTCTCCACTGGGTGGTGGATCTCTTACTGGAAAGTACATAGATATCAATTCCGAAGCTGCAAAAAATGGGAGGCTGAACCTTTTCCCTGGCTACATGGAAAGATATAACAAATCTATTGCCAGGGTATGTTAATATTCAACATGTCATATAGATAATAGATCATGTAGACTAAATTCAAATAAACACCAAACATGCACGATATATTTAGTTATTTTATTATCTAATAAAAATATGAACTGCTCTGATATGGGGATTTATCATCAGTGTTTACTGTTGATTTGAATAAAGCACATGCTGACTGTTTATACTTTCATTAGAAGAAAATTTCAAATTTAATTTAATCCCATTATTGATACAAGTGCCCTTGTTTGGAATTAAAGGCTAGGACTCCTAATTAGAAGGCCTTTGAACTTAGCACCACCCACAAGTAGGTTGATTGCTTCCAACTTGTCATTGGATATATTAAAAACCATGGCCGGACAGCAGCATGAAATATAGTTTGTACACTGGATGTTTTGGAAATAGTTGGTTTGCCTTGCTTGACGAGTTACTTTATGTTCTGGATATAGATTGATGAGGATAATTTCCATTACAACTTGTTGATTTTCTGCCTTAATGTTACTTTTTCTGTTTTCAGGAAGCAACAATAAAGTATATCGAGACAGCCAAGAAGCACGGGCTAACACCGGTTCAGCTTGCGCTTGGGTTTGCACGGGACCGTCCATTTGTGACAAGTTCAATCGTTGGTGCAACTTCTGTGAACCAACTGAAGGAAGACATTGATGCTTTTCTGTTGACAGAGAGGCCTTTGCCACCGGAAGTGGTGGCTGACATTGAAGATATTTTCAAGAGATACAAAGACCCTACCATTTTTTGAAAAAAGTAGCCTAGGAAGTGTAATTATTGTTTTCACTTCACATGTCTGGTTTAGATGACAATCGACGGTCAATGATATCCCTTGTTTGACCTTGGGAATTCCGGTTTTGTGCGGTGAGGAGAAGCATAAGATTAACAAGGCCTCGACTTCCATTTCAGAAATTTTCTGTATCCTCCTTTGTTTTCTTTTTCTTTCGTTTCCTCTAATTTGCTTAAGTGTTGTCTTCATGCTTGATAAACTGTCTAGGTTGATCAGTATGGCGGGGCGGGGTCATGATTTGTAACTCAACTCTGTATTTTTCGTGTCTTTCTTCTTTCCCTTTTCACCAATGGGAGAGCCTAGGTTAACATACTCAAATGGTGTCATGTCGTGTTCAATTTGGCTCACATATATTATGAGGTAAAGTTAGAAATTAGGATATTGTCAACATTGATCTGCTAATTTCATGTAAGTGTTGTATCATGTTAAAAATTGCTACCTTTAACTCCAATATTTTGTTTAACCATGTATCTTGTGCAACCACGAAGTAGGTAGACTCCAAGTTATTGGCAAAGGATCCCGACCGATGATAGGCGTGCACCTGGTCCGGCTGTGACGGCTTAGGCACTGCCTATTTCTTTTATTCAACAATTGTCGTCCATTTAAACACACGTCCTTAAAAATTATCTATACGACTTACCCATAAGTCACACCAGTGCAGTGCCTTATTTACCTTGAAGCGTCTAACTTACGTTGTGACGAATTATGTCATCCACATCTACTAATTTGAGTTCCCAAATCATATGACGCGGCATACTGGGTCGAATTTATATATTTGTTTTTTTGAAAAGCAGTTTAATTCGTTGTTAGACGTGGAGGAAGAGAAAGAGGCGCGCCAATATCTCGCCCCCATTTCTTTTGAGCTGCAAACGTCCCTAAACATGTGATCGCTTACTGCCCTCTCATTTCCACTCCTCTCTCTCTCTCTCTCTCTCTCTGATTGATCTGTATTGTCTTCATGGTCAATCTGCGAGACCCAATTTGCTAAAACGCTCAGAAATCCAATATTCACACTTTCTGCCAAATTTTATGGTGAATATATATAACTTGGTTGCATCTTTTTCCTTGGAAATTTCTTTATGAAGGGCACTTTAGGGTTGAAGAAGCTATCAATTTCAACAACCCAATTGAAGTATTTTTCTTTTGGAATGTATATGGTTCTCATTTAGAAGGATAATAGGAATTTTGATGAGAGGCCAAAGTGGAAGAAAGCATATGCATCTATGAAGACTGGTGAAGGGAAGTCGCCGATGCAGTTGTCGGTTGAGCTTGCTTCTTCTTCGGTGTTTAATTCCTTACGAAAGTTTCAGATGGAATGGCAGATCCTGCTAGCTATGGGAATTACGAGCGTGATATTGAACAAGTCAGTTTCCCATCAATGCTCTCTTTATTTTCCCTAGATCATCTGGTCTTGTTTGTTTTGCCTAGAAAACATCTGGTCTTGTTTGTTTTGCCTAGAAAACAAAGTCACCCCATACATTTTTATGCAGTTTTTCGTTGTGAAAAGAGGGTAATTGACTGTATTTTTATGAGGATAAGGTTATAATTGTGCTATGCAGATCACATGTTGGCCGACCTTGATATGATAGTTTCATAAGTCAAAGCATTTGTAGATTGAAAACGATACAAACCCAATGGTAATAGAAACATTGACAATATGACAAACATAACCAAATGTAAATGTTACTCTTTCGCTCAGTTTGCAACTAATGATATGGATGACATACAGGAAAAAATTAAAATAAAATACTTGAATTTTAATGTCAGAATTAATAAATTAATGTAGTACACATACAAAAAGGGGGAGAAAGAAAAAAAAAATAGATAAAGGAGGATGAAAATAGGATCTATATGTACTTGTATTTTGATGTAAAGTGCCCCTTTTTCTCATGCATGGATCAGCCTTCTCCCTTGAAGTTACCTGTACTACTCAAACAATATGTTTTTGGATTCGAGATAGGAACTGACAACTGCATCCTTGAGATAGGAAACCCAATTTCGTGGTAAACATTTAGTAAAAGTAAGGGAAATAGTTTGTCTGCGTTTTTGCGCAGACTGCATCCTTCAACGCTCTCTCTTTTATATGGCTAAGTCTATTGGGGATTTCGATCTCTGTGTACTTTGCCAATACTTATCCCCTAATATTGCTCCCTCTTATGAAGGCACTCGTTGCATTAAAAAAAGGTTCCCAGTTAATCAAGTATAGCCGAAAAGGGAAGCCAAAGCTTCGTCCATTCAGAATTTCTACTGTGAGTAATTTTCTTTACAGTAGGGATATTGGATTTATTTCATACCAATGCGTTTATCATGCTGCATCTGCTGCCCATTTAGTTATTCCAGACATGTGCTCATGTATCTTGGTAGTTCTACACACATATTTTGGATTGAGCAACTGCCTTGATCATCTATCTATGAGTGCATTTCCGTGAAAAATTATCACATATCTTAACCGCTTGAATGACTTCAATTTTCATATTATTAACAGGATGAAACTACTCTAATCTGGTACTCACATGGCGAAGAACGAACTCTGAAGTTATCTTCCGTCTCTCGAATTACCCCTGGACAGAGAACAGTGAGTTAAATACTCAACTCCTAAGAGCTAATTAATATTTTGTTGTTCCAATTCTCTAATCCTGTGTTTCAGTATAATTATGAACTACTTTTGTTTCCTAGTTGACAGAATATATACTTTATCTACTTTATAGGCTGTGTTTCGAAGATTCTTGCGCCCAGAAAAGGATTACTTGTCATTTTCTCTTCTATATAACAACGGTGAACGATCACTTGATCTGGTCAGTAAAATCAAGTACTAAAGTACTAGTTTCAATTTTTTCTATTATGGTCAGTTAGATGAAAGGTTTGAACCCAGACAATTATTGTTGTAGATCTGCAAGGATAAAGCTGAGGTAGAGGTATGGTTTGCTGGCCTTAAGGCACTAATTTATTCTGGACAACAACGTGGTAGACGTACTAAGAGTGATATTTCTGATGTAAGTTTCTGTTTTGACCAAATGTATATATGACTGCTTATATTTGTTCTCGCTCTTTTTGTCTCCCAGTACTTGCTCATTTTCCCTTATATTCTGACATTAATTACTAATTTAAATCTAGAAAACTAGTGGAGTATGCAAGCCTTTGAAGTAACATCGATGTCTAGATGGTTAATTTTGAAATGAGTATAATAGGTTAGTTGATCCCAGTTTTTCTTTTGAAAGGGCTGAATGTTTCTGGTGAAATACTTAGAGATGGTATAAAAAATCTGCTCCAAAGTTGCATGACAACCATTTTATATTTCTTATGTAACTGGCTATCTTTATTCTTATACTTACTAAATTATATCATTTGCAGATTGGTTTTGGCAATGTTTTGAACATGAACTCAGTTATTTATTAATGTAATAGTGGCCTCCATGGTTCAACTACATCTTCTCAACTATGGATAACATTATTGCATTAAAACTGAATTCATGTTCAACCATTAAGTTTTCTTGCACTATGAGAAACCACCAGCACTCATATTTGCAAAGTGAACGTTACACAATTTTCTTGGTCTACCCAGATTTATTCTGCATTCATACTCTTTCTGAAGATCCAATCTAGTTGTTTGCTTTAATTTCAGTTGCAAGACACTGGTGACTCTATTAATGGCCATCCTTCTGGTGAGACCTTAGAGTTCACTTCAAGCATTGCCCGTGGTAGGGTATCAGTTGATTCTCGTGAATCAGTGAATTCAGGCTCAGATGTGGGTTCAGAACGCGCAAATATGCAACTAAGAACAAGTGCAGGAGATGGTTTTCGGATTAGTGTTTCAAGCACTCCTAGCTGTTCAAGTGGAGGGTCTGGACCTGATGACATAGAATCACTAGGAGATGTTTATGTGTGGGGAGAGATCTGGTCTGATGGAAATGTATCTGATGGGTCTGCAAATCCAATCCCTACAAAAACGGATGTGCTGATTCCAAGGCCCTTGGAGTCGAATGTTGTTCTTGATGTTCATCAGATTGCTTGTGGTGTGCGACATGTTGCTCTTGTAACGAGGCAAGGTGAGGTTTTCACATGGGGAGAGGAATCTGGTGGAAGACTTGGTCATGGGATTGATAGAGACTTTAGTCGTCCTCGCCTTGTTGAGTTTCTTGCAACTAATAATGTAGATTTTGTTGCATGTGGCGAGTATCATACATGTGCTGTATCTACGTCTGGTGATTTATTTACTTGGGGTGATGGTACACATAATGCTGGACTTCTTGGTCATGGAACTGATGTTAGCCACTGGATCCCTAAAAGGGTTACTGGTCCTTTAGAAGGACTTCAGGTTCTATCTGTTGCATGTGGCGCGTGGCATTCAGCTTTGGCAACTTCCAATGGAAAAATGTTTACATTTGGAGATGGAGCGTTTGGTGTTTTGGGTCATGGAGATCTCGAGAGTGTTCCATATCCAAGAGAGGTACAGTTATTGAATGGACTAAAGACAATAAAAGTAGCATGCGGAGTTTGGCATACTGCAGCTATTGTAGAGGTTATGGGCCAGTCTGGTCCAAATGCTTCATCTAGAAAGTTGTTCACCTGGGGTGATGGTGACAAACATCGTTTAGGTCATGGAAGCAAAGATACTTATCTTCTTCCCACCTGTGTCTCTTCCCTTATTGACTATAATTTCCACCAGCTAGCATGTGGACACACTATGACTATTGCCCTCACCACATCAGGTCATGTGTTTACCATGGGTGGCACTGCATATGGTCAGCTAGGCAATCCAAGTTCTGATGGGAGAGTACCATGCTTAGTACAGGATAAATTGGTTGGTGAGTTTGTTGAAGAAATTGCATGTGGGGAATATCATGTTGCTGTCCTGACATCAAGAAGTGAAGTATTCACTTGGGGAAGAGGTGCTAATGGAAGGCTGGGACACGGGGATGCAGAAGACCGGAAAACTCCAACTTTGGTTGAAGCTCTGAAAGATAGGCATGTGAAAAGCATTTCATGTGGCTCAAACTTCACATCAAGTATATGCATCCATAAGTGGGTCTCTGGAGCTGATCAATCAATTTGCTCAGGTTGTCGACAGACATTTGGTTTTACTAGAAAGAGGCATAATTGTTATAATTGTGGACTGGTCCATTGTCATGCTTGTAGTTCCAAAAAAGCACTGAGAGCAGCATTGGCCCCCACTCCTGGAAAACCACATCGTGTATGTGATGCTTGTTATACAAAACTTAAAGCTGCTGAGGCTGGTTATTCTTCTAATGTTAGTAGGAGAGCTACAATCACCCGTTCAATGGATAGCAGGGATTTTCTAAACAGGGGAGATATAAAATCTTCAAGGATTCTGCTTTCTCCCACTATAGAACCCATTAAATATCTTGAGGTCAAGTCGACAAAGCCTGGGGTCAGATCGGAATCTCCTTCTATAGTCAGGGCTTCCCAAGTTCCATCTCTTTTACAACTAAAAGATATGGCTTTTCCAAGTTCATTGAGTGCGCTTCAAAATGCTTTGAAGCCTGTTATGACAACACCTCCTCAGCCCAATTCAAGATCTACTTCACCATATTCAAGGAGACCAAGCCCTCCACGGTCTGCAACTCCTATATTTTCTAGGAGTGTTATTGACAGTCTTAAGAAGACAAATGACATTCTGACTCAAGAAGTATCGAAGTTGCAAAACCAGGTACTAGTTTTACACCTTTTTGTTGCATCATTTTGTTGGTTGGTATAGAAATGTCAAAGCCGACAAGCCTTCTCTCAGTAAGCTTTCCTCCGTTTACTTCAGGTTAAAAGTCTGAAGCACAAGTGTGATGCTCAAGATGTAGAGATACAGAAACTACACAAACATGCTAAAGAAGCTGGTTCATTAGCTGATGAGCAATATTCTAAGTGCAGAGCTGCCAAAGAACTCGTCAAATCCATCACAGAACAGGTTTATTAAATTTTCTCGATATTCCAATTGTCATTTTTTTTGTAGAGAAGATGCTCGTGGCAATAAGACGGGGTAATGTAGTCATAACAATAATTAAAAACATTAAATAAGGTTTTCTATATGGTATAATGTACTCACCAAATGTTTACTACTAATGCCTGGTGCAGTCTCTGAAATACAATTGTAATTATAGGGAAAATTAGCTTTTCAATAAAGGAAAATATTTGTCGCATGAACATTTCCCTTGACAGAATAACAATGGCATTGAAAAGATAATCATCTGCTCTTTTCAACCCCCTGCCCCCATTGAGGTGAAATATGCTGATGTTATGTGTTCTTTCTTTGTCGTTCAGATGAAAGAATGGGAAGAGAAGTTGCCTCCTGAGGTTTCTGACAGTGATACTTTCAAGGAATTGCGTACTCAAGCTGAAGATTTTATAAACACAAGTATCGGAAGATCAAGCTTAGAACTTGAACAACAATATGCAGCCGATAAAACTTCCTTGGATTTTGAGTCTTCTAAAACGGAAGACAACAAAGGAGAAGACCCTGGGGAGGCTGAACCTCAAAACAGCTCAGAAAGCCACTCGAGATCACCCGAATCATCAACAATGCGGTCAGGACAAAAGGAAGTCATTGAACAATTTGAACCGGGTGTTTATGTAACGCTCCTTCAACTACAAAATGGTGCTAGGGTTTTTAGGCGTGTTAAATTCAGGTAAACTTTTCTTTTCTTTTCTTTTCTTTTTTCAAAATTCAGTAATTATGTGTTTGTGTTAGACAGCCAACAGACCCTTAATCTTTTGGGTCAAATGGTTCTCTAACATGGTATCAGAGCTCTTTGTGTAGGAGGTCCTGAGTTCAAAACTTATGGTCCTCATTCCCCACTGCTATGTTGATTTTCAAGGTGCATAGTGGGGCTGCACTTATGTGTTTCTTCTAGGAGTCACATTTTCTGCACCTGCATACTTCATTCATTTCCTTAAGTTAATTTGTCATTTATGACAATGCAGTGTACCCCGAAGTCTTCGATCATTTTAATGCCGTTCTCATTTAATTGTCTCTTACCAATCTCCAATATCTCTTGCAGCAAACGAAAGTTTAGTTCGCAACAGGCAGAAGAATGGTGGACAAATAACAAAGATAGGCTGCTTAAGAGATACAGTCAACTGAAGGCAAGGGCAAGTCCTGCCCCAAGTCTACCGCCCAGCAGTCCTGTACCTGCTGCTGAGGAAAACAGTGAGGCTGCCTCACCTTCCACTACATAGTTTCATAACTTAGTCTCTTACATTACGGTTTAGAAAGTGGGTAAGTAGGATCAAGAATCTGCTTTAGAGTGGCACTGTATGAATCAGTTTAGGTGTAAACATATCTTTGTTCAGAACAAAATAGATCAAGAACCTTTTTTCTTTTTAGAGGAATGATTGAGATGAGTTCTACTTCACCATAAAAAAAAGAAGGGAACATACTTCATATTCAGAGGGACAGGTCAGAACTGTGAGAGTTATGCAATTTAAAGGCATGAAAGCTTCACTATAATTCTTTCATTCAATTTAATCTGGTGTTCTCTTTTTCTCCTGTGCTGTTTCTGGCATCTGATACGATTGTAATTGTATAGCAGGTGAACTTCTTACGATGCTTATACGCCGTCGGTCGATTTATATAGCTTAACTACTCTTACAGACATCACTAAATTGAAGTTTTTGCATGAACCTGTTGACTACTAGAGGTGCTGCTATCAATTTGGGTGGTAAAAATAAATAATAAGAAATCATATTCACCTAAGTAACATTAGATTGAAAAACTGGAAAAACCACTAGTTGCCTTGCCTCTACATAGTTAGCAGCAGCACCTTCATATGCTTTATATATCTTAGACCAATTTTATCTGAAGATGTATCTTACTACAAATTCCTTTGCTTTTTCCCAATTTCACTTTCTAAAATCTAAATCCTCTTTTGGAAACCATGAGTTATGAGTTTGGTGTGGACAGGACAGGTACTGGTTCAGAGTTACGATTTTGGTGAGAGATGTGAGCTTTTTTCCCTCTGTTTTTCTTTTTTCTTTTGGCATTTTGTTAGTTTGAGGAAGGCCATCCGATTTCTTACCCAACTTGGTATATTTATTGTCCTACGTCTCCAATCCAACTAATGTTATCTATCTACGTCAGGCAAGGCCAACCAAAGCGTCGACCTCAATATTCATATGCATTGGTGAGACTAAAGTTATAAACGTCACTTATTTCTCAATTATCACAACACGGTTTGAATTCAATAGAGCATGTATGACTTTATTAAAAGAGATTTTCTATTTAAACCCCACAGTTCTTTTAGTTCACCCCATGTTCTAAGTTCACCCCAATTTCTAGTTTAAATTTTTACAATTTCTAAGAAAACTCCACTATCTTCCCAAACTACCCTTAAATACACCCCAAACTGAAAAAATAAGAACTAAAAGATATTTTCTATTCAAACCCCACAATTTTCTTTGTTCCCAACAAAAAAAAAGAATTGTATCTCGAACTCTCACACTTGGGTATTGTTGAGTTGAGAGCTTGAGAGAGAGAGAGAGAGAGAGAGAGAGAGAGAGAGTTTGTAAACAGGAAGTTAGAAGGAGGTTTCTAAAACTTAATATGAATAGTGGTGGGGTCTGTGGGGTGTGTGTATAGATGTACTAGGGTTAATTATTAAGTTGGATGACCTTTTCTGTCTTTTTACATAATAATAAAACTTACAGCTTAATGATTTAAGTATTGGGGTGAACAAAGAGAAGTGCGGGGTTTAAATAGAAAACCTCTTATTAAAATTATTAGATTTAAGGTGGTTGGCAATATCATTTCACCATATTTATACCACCTATTTCCTGTCTAAATCATTTCTTGTCAGTGGGGTTATAACTCCGTTAGTCGAGTTCTTGCACCTCCATCCCTGTGTGCAGAGATTCAAAACTCCCAAACACCACGAATAAATATTTGTGTAAAACCTCTCTCCCAACATTCAATTCCACCGTATTCCACCAACAATCACCTCAACATGACACATATAAAAAAGTGTTGTGTGCAGACACAAGTTCAAAAGGCAATCACCTTAACATATGTATGTATTTTTTTAAAATATTTTTGTTTTTCATGCACATCATAAAAATATGATAAAATACATATTATTTAAATCAAACAGACAATTCACAAATTATACATGTTCTTCATGTATAACAAATGTAATTTTTTTTTTACAAATTTATAAATAAACCCAATCCTAGACATGTATTTATAAAAAAACCCAAGCACTATTTAAACATAGAAACACACTCAAAATCAACCCCAAAGTCAACTTTTTGGGTGTGTTTATAAATGGATTTTGAGTGTGTGTAATGATGAGTTTTGAGTGTGTTTATATGTTTAAATAGTGCTTGGGTTTTTTTATAATTGCAACCCCCATTTTGGGTGTTTTAGTGAAACTCCTTTTTTTTTTCTCTAATTTTCAATAAAACAGGTTGAAACCACGTATTTTCACGTATTATTAAATAAAACAAATATACACTAAAAAATTTAAATAAATAATATTAAAATATTACATAATTACCAAAATTTTCAGCATATTTTAAAAAATTGTGCCCAATAATACACACATGACTTGTTGTAGAAAAGTATTTTGTGAGGACCTTCATATGTTATAAAGTAAAATAAAGAGTTTGACTCTTAAAATCTCCGTTACTAATTTGCCAATATTTTCGCTATAAAAAATATCTTCGTTGCTAAGGAAACGAATTGAATTAATTTTCATCACCCACTTGTTTCATTATTTGTGAGGAATTATTTATATTTATTTCCATTTGGAACAAGTTCCGTAGAAAGCACAACACTTTCCATTCCATTTTCCAGGGAATCCGATCTGATTTTCCTGGAAAAAAATTTAGTTTCTAGTTTTTCTGGATTTAAAGCCCTCGCCCCTCAAGTTTTGCTTCCAAAACCCGCAAGGTTTTTTCGGTTCCTGGTGGGATTTCGATGGGGCTACAGCAATCCAAAGACGAACTGCTCTATCAGCAAGTTAGCTATGGAAACATCGAAGGGATCAAATCCCTTTGCAGAGAAGGCGCAGGCCTTGAGGTAATTAAAATGGAGGTTAATTTCGATTATTGTTAAAATTGTAATCATGATGTGTTTATTGGTAGTGAAAATTGTTGTAAATTTTGGATTTTTTGGGTAGTTTTTGTTGAATTATTGATGATTTTGGTTATTTTGGTGGTCAGTGGATTGATAGAGAGGGGAAAACTCCATTGATCTTGGCATGTATGAATCCCGGGCTTTATAATGTTGCGAAAAGCTTGATTGAACTTGGCGCAAACGTCAACGCCTATCGCCCCGGTATGTTTCACTTCTGAGTTTAGAGCTTCTGTATTTTGTTTTGTTTTTTTTTTTCCTATCACTATCACTCTTGTTAATAAATTAATTGCAATTTGATAATTTCTTAGTTGGGTCGATCATGTTGAATTTTATGTAATTGTATAGGGAGAAGAAAGAATGGTTATTGAAAATTAACAAAAAATTTGCATTTTGTGGTCATAGATATTGAGGAACTGTACCAACTGCAGTCGTCATCTAGAGCAGGACCAGGCCATAGTTAGTAGGCAAACCTTTCCTCTAAAATGCAGATTCTAAGTCCGAATCCTCCCTCCAAATATTATGTGATTATGGGGAACTCATGTTGGATTCACATGTATACTACAATCATAATGGCAATAGCACCATGGATCTTAAGTCCTACCGTTGTACTAAAAAAATTTCCAGTACAATATACATTTATTTCTTCTGATCTCTCTCTCCTCCCTAGAAACTTATTGCGTAATATTTGCTGCTTATTGTGTTTTACCAAACATATAAGAAACTCATCTTGTAATTCCCAGTATTCTTGAGAAATGCTATTATATACTCATGCACCTTGATCTTTAACTTGCTTCGACGTTTTTATTATTATTTATATTTTCCTCTTTTCAATGCGCTTTAGGTCGCAATGCTGGGACTCCTCTGCATCATGCAGCTAAAAAAGGGCTAGAAGATATTCTTAATTTACTTCTTTCACATGGAGGTCTGCAATTCTGTCATCAGTTCATCTCTGCAAAGTCTTATTCAGAAAGGAGTTTATGACTTATGATTTTAGAAAAAAAAAATTGCAGTTTCTTTTCCTGCTGTCTTTATTGCATTAATATATAATCTGTTCAATTTTTTTTCAGCAAATGTGTTAATCATGAATGATGACTGTCAAACTCCTCTTGACGTTGCTAGGGCAAAAGGGCACACCAATGTTGTCCGTGCGATTGAGGTATATTCAAACATTAGTTTGCAATGTCAGTATATGCATATTTTTTACGTTCCAACAATGTGTTTTTCATTTTCTTCTTTTAAAGATGATTCTGCACTCTTCATCTCTTGCTTTCTTTCGTTTTTCTTTTCTTTCCCAATGTTTGTAGAGGCATATTTGCTTATTCTCTGGTTGGTTGCGGGAGTTTTATGGTCCTGGATTTCTTGAAGTACTTGCTCCTCAGTTGGTTTCAAGAAAAGTGTGAGTATTATGTACAACAAGTGATTTCATCTTGAAGTATTTATATTTAGTCGTTTTAGTTTTCTATTCATGCTCTATGCAGCAAGATGTCTAAGCAATATAGGCAGATTGCTTTGACCTGCTTTGGAGAAGTTTACATAGCTCTCATTTGTTTTATCTATTTTTGTATCTTTATTGAGTAATTGTCTGAAAGATCACTTAATATGCGTGCCTACTATTGCCTTGCATATTTTGCAGCTGGGTTGTTGTTTTGCCAAGTGGTTCCCGCAAACCTACCAAGCCTTTCAAGTTGGAACTTGCCATATATTCTAGTATGCAGGTAATACTAAGTATACTCGGCTATTCTTAGGTGGATTAGGCATTATGTATGATTTTACTTCTTTCTACATTTTGTGCCTCTACTAATACATTGCATTCAAGTCGTTCCTAATGTAGGCTACATTGAATGGTTTCTTGCAGATATCCTGGACACTAAATTGAGTTTATTTTGTTAAAAGAAATAGCACTTGATTAATTCAAAACCTACATGAATGTCTGGATGAGTTAAATCTGATGGCTAATTTTTGAAATTGGATAATTTCTATGAATACTACTTTTTTTTTTTTTTTTTTATAGGAGACGTTCTTAAATCTTTATTATCGCCATCATTTTAATTGACGAGCTCAGGCCTCTTTTTAGGATTGAAGATGTATTAGGCATTAATTTATAGCACTGTCACATCGTGATAGTTTTCTCAATCATTTAAAGTTTATGCACTTGGAATGCTATGTCCTAATTAATACTTGAAATAAAATGACTTCACCATTTAATATTGCTTTTTGTATAACTCATAACAAATAATGATGTTACTTGCCCTAGGAAGTTGGTGAGTTGGTAGCCTCACCACTGAACTGGGATGTCCTTTACCCTTCATTGCCGGAAACCTCTTAATTTTTAAATTTTGAGCTAATATTTCTTGTTAGGATTAAAGTTGAATCCTTGTTTATTGCCAGTTGTGGGGGTCTAAAACTCCTAGTCAGGACAAATAATGATGGGAATGATAAAAATAAAATAATAATGCCAAGAAGTTAAGTATGTGAACTCAATTTCACTTTCAGAGAAAGCAAACTAGTTCAAGTAGTTTCTGCTCAATAGGTACTCCCTAACTTGAACTGTATATTCATCCGAATACCTCCTACTATACTCTTTACTCAAGTTCCATCGAAGTACATTCCCACTCAACTCTTATCTCAGCTCTCTACTGCCATTCTTGGTTGAGAAGCTTTTGAAAGGCTAGCTTGTCTCTCTGCATGCATGCAAGCTTGATTTACGCTGTTGGCTCATTTCCTATTACCCGAACACTTTAATAGAATTAGTTGTCCAAAATCAATTATCTACCTTTCTCTACTCTAGATTGATGTATTCAGGGTGCACTTTATTTCTATGTTCTGCATTGTTTTATATTTTGACGATAAGTTAATTGATCTCTTATTTTGGTAGTATTCTTATATTGAACTCTTTTGGAATAAGCAGGACGCCCGACCACGGACAGTTGTTGCGTTGTGGAAAGTCAATTTGGAAGAACCGAAGTTACACCATTCTGATCCTTCTGTTGTAATTCAAGATAGCTCCACAAGTAATTCCTTGATTCCAAAAATATTCTTTAGGACTAATTTTAAACCTTAATTCTATAGGCTATAAATCTGGGAGTTGATGTCACATTCATTTCGTAGCCCTTTTTTAATTGAATTCTATGTCCGTGCTTAGTCCCAAGAGGCAGGAGGCGGAGAAGAAGCATTTACATCTCCCAAGAGGCTAGGTGTAGGCATCAAAAAGTTAGGCGTAAGTACATTGTTTGTTCATTACTTCCAATCAATGTAAATGATGAAAGTGATTGAAGAAGCTCTTTAACAGAAGATATTGGACATCTTCCAATATCTTCCAAATTAAGTGCTGCAGTAATGTACTCATGCCTTTCTCCAGCCTCCTATCTATAATAGGCTTGCCTTCTAGCTAGGAAGAAAAGGAAGTTCCCCATGAGTTTTAGGTTTCTTTTGTTAATATCCTATTCAAACTCAGCATGCCTTCTTTGCAGAAACACGCATCAAACTTGCATCTGCAGATGAAAATGATAAGAAACAACTTCAGTGGTTTTGCAATGCATGCAAAGGAATTCCACAGGTAAATCTCATCTGCACAGATCTTATCTTTTTCTGCCTATGTCTAGGGCAATCGCCTCGATAATTAAATGTGACGAATTTGTGGATAGAACCATGAAAGTACTTTTGAAGTACTAAAATCATTAGTTTTCTCAAAAAATTGATTCTTTTGTAAAAATGATAATAGTGTTTGTAAATAAGCACTCTATCAAAGGGCTGCAGATAGAAAATGTGGAAAAGAGTGCTTATTTACAAGCACTGCAATCATTTTCTCTTAAAACTCGAAATAGAAACCCTGTAAATTTTATCTTGCAGACTAGTGATTCACTAAATTTTTAGGTCAGTATTTTATCTTTGGCATGATGATTGGGAGGCTATCATAATTTAAATTTGTGGAATTTTTCAGGCGCGTCCTGCATTTTTGGCTAACAACCAGCCCCCAGTTCCAGCAACTGCACCACCACCTGCAGAAGATTTTGAGTTAGCCATGGCTATCAAGGCCTCCATTGAGTCTGCTTTGCAGGAGGGACCGTCCTTTCCTGATGCACACCTGACCAATGAAGCAAGTGCATCCAGCAGTGATAATGGTTGGGGCAAATCCTCCATGAATACTGGCAGCTATAATGGTGCAGCTGCTGCTCCAAATGCAAGTAGTAGCAGTGAGCGGCCAGGGAATGAAAGTAGCCAGAAAACGGAAATCCAGGATATCTCTTCCATCCAAACTGCTCCTACTTCTGATATAATCCCATCAGCTCCACCGGTTGCAGATGAGGAGCCTATTCACTATCCGTCAATTGATTTCAGTCCTATTGATATGCCATCCTCCCCAAGTGTTGAAGGTATACCTGCTAAACTTAATGAAAAGAAGGGTGGAAGTGATTCTTCTTCATGTGTGATTTGTTTGGATGCTCCGGTTGAAGGAGCTTGCATCCCATGTGGGCATATGGCTGGATGCATGTCTTGTTTGGGTGAGATTAAAGCTAAGAAATGGGGTTGCCCTGTCTGTCGGGGCAAGATTGACCAGATTGTAAGGCTGTATGCTGTATGATCTTCGAACCAGCATATAGTGAAGCTCTACATGGTTACTGCAACTTGAATACCTTCATGAAGCTGTTTGTATTCTTTTTTGTGTGTAAAGAAGCTGCTTGTGTTTGTATTAATAGATGAAGTTCTTGTTGGGACCCCCACCTGAGTTTTCTGTACATATTATTACCACATATTAGTAAACCTTTCACCATGCTTTCTTAAGTATCAGTGAGCAGCAGCCTCTCTTAATTTTGATTTTTCATTGTTGTAAGTTGTATATGAAAATGATATGCATTTCCCAAAAGGTATATTTGCAAATATACTTTTTGGGGTCTTCAATGAATTCAAGCTATGGATTTTACTCCATGCAATTAGGGAGAACGAACTCTTTTTACTTCTGAAGCTTTAAACTAGTCTAGTCTAAACAGTTTCTTTTATTTATTTATTTTTTTGTTTCAATGGAAGAAAATCAAACCTTACATAATCCCAACTCATTTCAGCATCCATCATAAATATAATGAATTTCATCAGACTCTGATATAGGACCACAATTTATGATATTCTCAAAGAGTTGAAATTTTGCATATGATCAAATATCGTATGGCATTGGGAAAAATTGAAGAAAGTGGGACTGGTTTCAAATTGTGCTGTTCCTAACTTTCCATGACGCCAAGCATTGAAACAAATGTGAGGTCATGGGCAGTGGGTTGTAGGGTACCATGTTCATGTTGAGGGATTGCTTTTTTCGATTGTCAGCCACAAACTATTGGTGGTATGCTGGATAGCTACGTTTCCTTGATTGCCAATAGTCTTTTTTTTTTCTTTTTTTCTTTTTTTTTTCCTTTTGGGTTTTGTATTTTGAGAAGGAAAATACTTGCTTTGAAAGTAGGAACTTCTACTTTCTTGCCAATCACAGTTTGACATGTGTGTAGGAATTTTTATTTTTGTGTTTTTGATTAATTATTTTTGCATGTATCAAACTGTAATTTACAAAAAGTAAGAATATCTATTTCGTGGAAAGAAAGAAAACCAGGCCTTATTGAGAATGTCAAAAGATAGTGTGATCTAGTTATGAGCCATACATATGATTAAAGGATCTTAGGAATCTAGCCTGTTATGGGTGGCCATGGCAGCAGGGTCCAATTACTACATTTGTTGCACCTTTTTACTACAAAGAAATATATATATGTACATTTATATTTCATCATCACCAGAAATCCATTACTCTTTTATATATAATGGTTGTCAACCACAAAAGACCTAATGGATGGTCATGTTTCATTATTATTATTTTCCTTTTGCTAGCTAGCTAGCTTCTGACCCAAATAAAAAAAAGCTAGCTATCTATAGCCTATTCCGTTGCTTTTGTGTGGTTGGAACAAGAAATTCCACTCCATAGCAAATTGACTTGAACTCTATAATTTTAAGTTACACTGGGTAGCTCAGCTAGTAAGGAGCTGGGGTACAGTAGGGGTTTTTTTTCAACCACACATCTTGCGAGCCTACGAGCTAAGCTTCTATTGTAATCATATCATGTCACAGATTTTCCAACCGTTTACTCATTAAACCTCCATGGGACTTACATTTAAGGTTATAAAAGTGTTACTAACGCATGGGGCTCGCTTACCTCTCTCATCAGTCAATTGCTAATTAGTTAGGGTTTGTTTTTGTTCAATGGCCAAAGTTGATTAGACTTAATTTTATTTAGTAAATTTAGGTTTTAGCCACTAAAAGATTTTCATTTTTGGAAAAAGTCAAAGTTTTTTAAAAAAAGACAAAAAAAATCTCTCAATTTTCAAACCAAAGACATGTAAATGTAAATGATTTCTTAGGAAATTCAAAAATAAATAAGGGCAATTTTGTCCATTTTGGCTTCTTTTAAAAAAAATTCTTTTTCCTTTGGTCTTTTCCAAAGTCTCCCTTGGACTGGACTAGACTGGGTTAAATAGCACTCGAAATCCTTGTTTAGTAAGAGACGGGACTAACATAAATAAGATTGTATAGTCCAATAGTGAAAGAAGAAAAAAAACGCCTCACTCGCTCGTCTAATACAATGAGCATAACAGTGGTTCGCTAAATAGCACACTTACTAAATAGAACACGTGAGTCCGACGCCTCTCTTTAAAAATATTAGAATTTTATTTGTTTTCTTTTAATTATTGTTTTAGATCTTTGAAGGGTTTTTTTTTTTTTTTTTTTTTTTTTTGCAGCATTTATTTATTTTAGATAAAAATCCTTAATTAAATTTAAATATTATAATAACTATTTTGATATTGCATTTGAAAAATCAAACTAAAGTAATTTACAAATTTTTTTTTTTTTTAAGAGAATGATATTCTTGCCCTTAATCTCTGTGGTACATGCAAGCTAGGCTGAATGTCGTGGTTTGGCGATTTCTTATATATTCTTATCTTTTTACCTTCCAAGAAGCACTCGTTGAGCTAGCAAGAAAAACAGAGAGTATTAGAGAGAACCTAAAGTTAAACGAGATCCTTAAGGATGCAGCCAAATGGAAATTGGCAGATTGGCTCATTGGTCACGGCAAGTCTCACGCCTTATACGTAAACAGCTTTGACACGAATATTATTGTTGGATTCTGTCATGGAAGATGTGAGACTCATGGAAAACAATGAACGCACATTTTTGTGATCGTTTGATGCATTGTAACTAGTCAACACAAGCATGCTTCATTACAAAAACATATCACTAAAGTTCAAATAAGATTTCAAACCGAAAGAGTAATTGGAATCGGTGAGTTTCTTAAATTAAATTATCTATTTCTCTTTCACTATTAGCGTTAGAATCTCACACACAAAGTGCGGGATCCACCATAAACCATAAATTTAAAACATGTTTTCTATTTTCTCGAAATTCCAATAAATGATAAGAGGTCTAAACAAGAATTCCTCATTACATTGTAGCGTAAAGATTCTATTGTGTTCATAATATACAGTGCATCTGTAATTCTGAATGCCCTTGAATGAAACTTTTGGTTCACTACTGTGAATTTACACCACCTGCTACTATCCAAGAAGAGTAAATTCCATGTTTGCAATTTAAAATGGTTTAGTTTTGTCGAAAGTTAAACTTTACTTCACATAATGTCCCATACTTGAAAAGATGGAGACATGATATCTCTATGCAAGTTACTTTGCTTTTTTCTTTTCAATAAAAGAGAACAAGGAAATAGGGAAAATGCGGGTAGGAAGCTATATATGCTCTTTGCCCCGTACCCCTGCCCGGATCTTGATTTTGATATCTCTTTGCTGTAAAATTGAAGTTTAAGCCCTTCATTAAAGAAGAAACACATGTAATCATGCTTGTACTAACTCGAATATTATGAAGATTTACACGTTTAATTAGTTGGCGTGTAATCGAAGTAATTCTCTAATCACCTCTTAGTATATTCAACTGTGTGAGTGTGAGTGTGAGTGACAGAGTGAGGGAAGGAAAAGGAGGTGAGAATTCGAATTTCAGGATTTTTTTTTTCTTTTATTTTTTGGATTTTGAAACTTGATTCTGCAAATCAAATATCAATCAAAATGTTGGACAAGGCAAGCCTGATGCCTGCAACATATTAATGTTGTTGTTAATGTCTCCACGCTTTTAATTGACTTCCCTTCTTAGACCTAGCAACGGTTATGTATGTGCAATGTGGGATGTGTGTGGGAGAGCTAGAAGTGGTGCAATGTATAATTTCCCCTTTATGAAATTATGAATGGAGTTCTTAATAATTAAACTTTTTTGTTTTTTTGGGTAAATGACTTATAACTCAAGTGATTAAGAACATCAAGGGTGTTTTGTGATTTTAGAGGCGACGTGCCAAAATAACAATATGACCTTCTAAATATAAGTCTTGAACGAAAATATTTAAATATATATATATATATTTGAGCCACCTAATGATAATTTACAATTAAAACTCATCGCTAACAGTTTTTTTTTGGGAGTTTCACTAAAACACCCAAAATGGAGGTTGAAATTATAAAAAAACCCAACACCCAAAACACTTTATAAACACACCCAAAACCCATCATTACACACACTCAAAACTCATTTATAAACACACCCAAAAAGTTGACTTTGGGGTTGATTTTGGGTGTGTTTCTATGTTTAAATAGTGCTTGGGTTTTTTTATAAATACATGTCTAGGATTTGGTTTATTTATAAATTTGTATTTTTTTTTAAATACTATAAAGGATTATTAAACAAATCATTAAACGGGAAACCAAAATGTTGATTTTCAAATTACTAATTATCGTTATATTAATATATTATAATATAATTATTACATTTATATATTAAACTACATGCTGGTTGTTGGGGCCCTGCCGCCGCCCGAAGTTTGTCGCCTATATAAGAAAATAAAAATATTGAATATTTTCTTTTCATTGATCGTGAACAAAATGTCACATATATTCTTATGATGAATAAAAAGAAAATGAGAGTAGCCAAGCGATAGTATAGAATAAGGGACGGCATGAGGGTGTGCAAGTGGTGTCATCGTACAGGGCTCCTGATTTTTAAGAGTTCCGAAATTTTTTGATGCGTATATTATATATATGCTAAAAGTCACTTTTGGTCCCTGTAATTTGACACTTCAACCAATTTTGACTTTGTAGTTTCAATTCCGTTACTTTTGACCTTGTAGTTTCATATTTATAGCAATTCAATGATAAGTTCGTATTCTTGTCAATCTCTTTGAAGGTGCAAAAGGCAATTTCGTCAACCCAAAATCCTTGAGCATAAAAGCTCGTCTGAAACTCCCATCATTTCATATTAAGGCTTGAAATTGGTCATTTGGGTATAGGGTTCTTCAAAAATTGGGATTAGTGGTTAAATTTCGAGCCCTAATATGAAATGAGGAGAATTTCAAACAAGCTTTTACGCTCAAGGGTTTTGGGTTGACGAAATTGTATCTTGCATCGATAAAGAAATTGACAAGAATACTAACATGTCCTTGAATTGCTACAAATAACAATGGCAAAATTGACGAAATTGAAACTACATGATCAAAAATGATTGAAGTGTCAAACTACAGGGACCAAAAGTGACTTTTGGCCTTATATATATGGATGGTGATTTTCCCACTCCCTTTTGTTTTTTTAATACTTTTTACTATAAGATAAAAGGGAGTGTAAGTGAACAAAAGAGGAGTGAAAACATACTATTTTAAAAAAATGGAGTGTAAGTAAATAAAAGGGAAGTGAGAAAATCAGTACCCATATATATATATATATATATTATAGGTATTATATATACTTGAATGTGCATGACAATAACACAAGCAACTCTTTGGTTGAGTTGGAAATCAACGCGTTGATTTTAGTAGGCAAGTCTGATTTGAGTCAGTATTGTGTCATTTAGTAGTTGTATCTACA